GTCGTAACTCGGCGATCTCGTCAGTTGAGTTTGCTTGTATGTGCGATACGGACTGAGTCCTAATCCACTCGTAAATTCTATCGGCTATGTCCCCTGGCCTATCAAAATCGACATCTTCGTCTCCAATTGCCAGCATCTGTTGTATCTTTTGTGGGAGACGTCTGACCCACAACTGATATAATAGACGTTTATCTACTATACGATTCCCTAATAAATTTGTCATATGGCATTTTTAATTGAGATGGTGTACTTTCATCAAGCCCTACATCAGCTAAAATTTGATCAATTGTCTGTCGGTCGATGAGAGATGTAACACAGATGTAACGTCGTCCGACAGCAATGAGTTTGCGTAGCTAAATTTTGTGCTCTGACTTGTGATTCTGTTTGCACCAATAAAGCTTTTTAAGCGTGCAAAAACCAGAGTTCAGCCTTGCTGGGATTAAAGACAAGTAAAGGTACAGAGACGGCGCCCACGGAAATAGACTTACATTGAAAGGATTAGTGAATTATCAAGTGACATGATACGAAGAAATAATAACAATAGCAATATTAATAACTAGCTGAGAGTTGAAAAATACAATAAGAGGAAATCAAAAATCAAAACAAGAAATATATATATATATATATATATATATATATATATATATATACAGTAGTTGAATGGGCTTGCTACACACTAATAGTAGTATGTCAGATGAAGCCACAGAATATATCTCATACCGAAAAAGATTTTGGGAGTCGACATTCAGTTACTCGACTGCCGGATGTTTCGGTTAAGGCTCAGTGCCATTTCATTGGCCCTAAATATCTGTTTGATGACCTATAATGATTGAAAGTATTTGAATTCATTTGTTTACTGCGAATCCCCAACACAATTTACAGTAATAAGATCTAGATGAACACAAATGAACGTATTATATTTGGAACTCGTAATGAGCGAGTCGTCAAGTACAAAGAAGTAATTAGTTCACATAAATATCACAACCACCACAGCTTAAATGGGTATCAAGATTCTTGTTATTTGTTGTATATCTTATCCTTAGCTCCATGTGTTGTTTATATGAGCTAATGATTGTTTTGTACTTGAATCTATGGCTGATTTCCAATTCTAAGTACAATACTTTTATTAGTGTTCATCTAGTTCTGTTCGGCTTAAATTGCACTATTTCTGAAACTTAGTTAGCAGATTAATTTACCATACTCCATCATATGACTCTCTGGCTGTGTATTGGGTATAGCCTCTTCATGGTCCAGAATGTTTTTGTAGAATTATAATCTACTACGATATTAATACTACCATAATAATATACTTAATCCTAAAATGACAGATTTGTCATGATGTAACTGCCTAATCTATAAGATCTTACGTGTAAATCACATTATTGTCTACACCAACTCGTCGCATCGTAACAATCTTCAATATATGATGGAGAACAAACTTAGGCTAGAGATGGAACAATATATTTAATATGAATAAATGATATAAGACAACACTCAGGTGACCAGTCCTGCCAGGACGAGCCATGGCATCCGATTAATTCAACTCATTGTTCCCGCCTTCATTGTCTTTGGGTTTTTTTTGTGTTAAATTTTGAATATCTATTTTCCCAGTTGTTTCGTGTTCGGCTTTAAGGATTGTGTGGGAGAATAGATGGAGCGTTGTATACATGGTTATCCGTTTACTCAAAGGAAGTGTACCTCTCAAACTACCCTATGAAATTAATGTGAACTGTTATCAGTATTATAGCAAATTCGATTACAGTTTTCAAGACGTTGCTCGATTGCCTAAGCCGATCATAACCATGAATAATTACCATTAGATTGCCAAATAAACAACAAGAAAGTTTTGTAACGTGTGAGACTGAAGATTTTGATAGCAGCGTTTTAACGATCGATTCAGTGACACGTAAACACGTAATGAACGACCTAGACTCCCGATTGGCCCTGCTTCGCTGTCTAGCCCAGCCAGTTGAGTCCAGAACACAAGTCTTAGCCTCTGAGATATGAATCACTATATTTCAGACATACTCTCTTTATATACCGATCAACCAGACCAAATCGTACCATAAAATAGTAAACAACATTTGTACAATATTTAACAAGTGAAATAAATACTGACCAATAGGCAGTTTACATTTAAAGTCCAAGGCCACCATTAGACTTAACATGATAATTATTGGTATATTTTTCTTCACATCCCGTAGGTTATTTAATAAAGAAGTTCATGTTTGAACGAAAATCATTTATAATAGATAATCGCACCACGAGGAAGTAACAGCTCATTCATTTACAATTCTAAGTAACTTAATACCAACCATAGCTGCTACTTTGACGTAGTGGTCACGCTTGCCTATCGTGAGGATCCAACCGAGCTATATTGGCTGGAACATATGTTCCTGTAGGTTCTGCTATGCCAGGCACATCGATTAGAGGACCGTAAGACTAAAAGCACCAACTGAAGGTCTTACGGCGAAGTCGTACTGCTGACGGTAGACGGGTGTCGCAGCAGTAAGGTGTTTCCCTTGGGTAACCAGCATCTGCAACGATGCTGCCTTCTCATAAGGAAGGACGAGGTTAGAAGTGGTCGACCCTAAAAATGTCACACCTCAACTCACGGACTTCGGTCTCCGGCGGTAAGGATCTTTGAAAAAAAACCCACGAAAACGCTATGCGCGACCGGCCTCAAGCAGTTGTCCCTTTGACTCTGGGGACAGCCTATCAGGCCGATAAAACCAACGCTAATCCAACTTCCTTTTCAGGTTCCTCGGCAAATACCCTTCCATGAGGTGGAAAGCCTGGAAGTGATATCATCCCTCATACCCGTAATAGCACACGAGACCAAGTTAGTCACACTCAAATCTTTACTACACCTTCTAATAACTCTCCTCACGTCCCTTTATCACCTCACACCGTTAGGGCAAACGATTTGAGTACACGGAACGTTATTGCTGGTCTCCTGAAACCACACTAAATGACACGTAGGAGCTTTTAACATCCGAACATTTTGCTAAGTAGTACAACAGGCTTCCTTAGCTAGGACTTTAGAATCTCGCGCCATCGATGTATGTCGCGTTTCCGAAACGCACATATAGGATCCGAGTAGCGTTACTCATTTGGCATCACCATGTCAAAGTAACGAACCAACTCGACTCACGCTTCGTGTGCCTGGGAGCCCAGATGCTGCTTCTCGTGGCCTCGCTGGATTAGGTATATGATTGAGTCCTAGGGCAGAACTAGCTCCCTTAGACTGGATTTTAGTAGAAAGTTGTTTGTGTGCTGTCCGACTAAACGGAACAGTAAGGACTCGGAAAGATAGGGACACTCGTCGTTGCCTCTTCATCGTCTCTGCATATTCTCCCACTGACTGCAGCTGAGACGATGTAAAACACGAGTTATACAGAAAGCTTTCCGACCTTCTCCGAAAATTTTTATTTTATTTCAACACATAGATATTGGTACAAAGAGGCACCAAATACATATGCGCCACACAAGTCTCATCCGATATGTGTGAGGGCTGTGATACTGCCCGGGTGCCCAAACCAAAGCAGGTTTCTCCGAAAAGCTAGGCGTTCTGATGTAGTAATAGTGACTGGTGACTTTAATGCTCAAGTAGGTAAACTAAGTGAAAGAGAAATACAGATTGGTGGATCTTGTGGTGTCGCGGCTCAAAGAACAGATAATGGCGGCTATGCTCAGACAACCGTCTGTTCCTGGCAAATACTAACTTTAAGCATAAAGAAAAACATCTTTTAACATGGTCCCAACGTTGGACCCGAATAGGTCTCATCGCCATCAGCCACCGATGGAAGGGCTCGACTGAAGACTATCGCTCATTCTGGATCACATGCTTAGATTAAGATCACGCTCTAGTACGAGCGCGTATTTGCCTTCGTCTTACTGGACGTAGGAAAGACGCTGCAAGGAAACCTCTTAGGGCCCTACTTAATGATAGTCAAGCTAAGAGTATATTTCAGGAACAACTAGGAAAACAGTTAGGCAGCCATGTATGTGATGCCCACCCCGAGGCAACATGAAATGATATCCGAAAAGCTGTGGAAACAGCAGTGATATCTTCTAGTACGGTAAGCCAATAGGTTAGGAAGAAACACTGGATCTCAGCAGCATCTACCGCACTGATGGATGTTCGGGAACCCGACCCATCTGGCTCTGAACATAGTGAAGAGCGGAGTCAGCTTAAGCGCAAGCTGACAAGAAGTCTACGCAATGATCGCGAACAGTGCTGGGTAGCGAAAGCAAGAGAGATGGAAAAGGCAGCGGCATAGGTAATAGCAGACAATTGTTCAGACTCGTTAAGGAAACCGGTATTACGAACCCGACTGTTAGCGAAACTATCTCGGAAAAAGATGAACATATTATAAATTCTCAATGAAGGAGATTGGATCGATAGGTAGAACATTTTAGGGATCAGTTCAACTGGCCTTCAGCCGCTCTTTAGTTTCTCGAAAGTATCTATAATTTCTATATTGGTTTTTAGAGATACATTTTAAAGCAACCTGCATAAAAAGCGGTTGTTTAAGCATGAAAATACAGTAAAGGCTGAACTCACAAAAAGCAGATTTTAGACCTACTTGATAAGATCCCACTTTTATTGAAAGTACGGATTCAACGAGAGTGGCCAAACATGAAACAAGTCGAAGTAATATTCATTAAAAACCATATCTTAAAAGTCGTAAAGAGTTTCGACATATCACGTGAAATCCACAGTTAATTTCACGACAAACATAACCGTCACACTCTCCTAGTAATTTTGTATGCGGATATATTATGTACACAGGACGAGTGCTAATTCGTATACATTCTATGCTACAGATCAGAACAATAAGTTCTCAATAGTTGTCTTATGGGGAATTATTTCTATTGACAAGTCGACCGCATATAAAATTACAGACAACCTAATAACAAAATATGAGAAATGAACTGTCTCTAATTATCTAATATCTACTGACATCTTTAGCGAAATGGAAAAACTACTAATTTCTCAAAACATTATTCTTTTTTTTTAAATTTCAAGAACATACTCTAGAACAATTAAATTTAGAAACAATACAATACATAAACTTGGTGAATAAACACAACTATAATAGTAATAACAGATCAACAAACATAGATACACTTATAGATTTTGAAACAGGTAACTGATTGTGTACAAATCCCAGAAGTAACCTGAATCAAAGATGAAATCAACCGGAGGAGGAGGAGGAGGAGAATTAAACAATAAATGCATAAGACAAAAAATATAAACGTTTCCATGAAGGAATATTGGATACTGAAAGAACAAGTAACTTGACGATGGATGGATAGATAGATAGATAGGGGTGGAAATAACCATAATTAACATTATTACAGATTAATATGTCACTTTATAACAATGTTGTGTATATGTTTTATAAAATTAATCAATACTAAGCATAAAAATAAGCATAATAGGATCTTAAACTTTTTGTAATGTTTTATAATGTATATGATTACTTAATTTATATAATAATGGTAATTATAACAGTGGAAATAATAAACCTTAAAATAAACTAGCATAAATGCATAATATTTAGAAAAAGAACTTCAATAAGCATGAAAATGCAATTCAAACAATATAAATGCACAAATATTACTGGACTAGTCAATAAGTAGTAATTCATAACAATAATATAATAGAGATGATTTTGTGAAAATTTAAAACATCTGAAAAAAAAGAGATAAAAAGAGAAAAAATTCAACTTCCACTGCTACTATTATTGTTATTATCAGAGCGGACAGAAGTAGATGAATGATGAACAGAAGAATGCCTGTTATCATTGTCTATATCAGGTTTTAAAATAGAACGTACTATTGAAGGTTTAGTTTCATCTTCACTGCTTTCAACATCGTCTTCATCATCCTCATCTTCATCATCATCGTATTCTTCACCTGAATTATGACTTGTCATACCAATAGTTCCAAATCTTTGTGAATTATTATTTAATGAATGTGTGGATTGAACTGATTGTATTATGGAACCAGAATGCCAATTATCTGAAGATTTATTATTAGTAGCATTTTTAGTGAAACTATTATTAACTATCGACAAATGATGTGGTTGCTGTTGTGATGTAATATGGGTATACGTTTCCGATGGACATTGTTGAACTTCAGAATGTAAATAGCCAGGAGTACAAACATCTCCAGCAGATCCAGTATTCGATGATGCATAATCATTACGACTATTAACTATTGGCAAATTTTCACCATAGACAGCTAGAATGTTGTTTTTAAAAAATGTTGTAAACCATTTAGTTATTCAATTAAATAGAAATTGAATACACTGAATATGACCAATAAATAACAGAATACCAATTTTCTTTAATTTGCTAAATTTATAAAGATTTAACGTCTGAAACCAGATTTATGTGTTTAATAAGCAACATTAATAAATCTTTCTTTACCCTGATAATAATACATTCATTTTATTGCATCATATTTTTTTTAATATTTCAAATCTTTCTCAAGTTTAATTAAGTCACTTTCATTTCTCTTGACTTCATAATTTTAATTCTAATTAACTGATTTCAACTTACATGATTCTTTATTATTCCCAGTTTTCATTTTTTTTACGACCTTATTAACTTTATTAAAACCTCCATAATACCATGATATATATATCCATTTTTAACCACCTATGTATTTATAAGTATGTCAAATTTTAACATAATTTCGATTTTAAATTAAAAGTGGGAAACCAGTAGGACCACACAACGTAACAACTGAAGTCAGACATTGAAGTAATTGCAAACACACTTCACGTTCTATTCAAGAAGATTGAGGAGAAAGAACAAGTTGCCCACGAACTGAAAAGGATACCTCATCAGGATACCAAAGAAAGGAGATCCAAGCAAATGTGAGAACTATAGAGACATCACACCACTGCAGTACCAGGAAAAATTTTCGACATACTGTTGCTAAAACGGATAAAAGACACAATATACGCCCAACTTTGGGATCAACAGGTCAGATCTCGTAAGGAACTGTCGGGAACAGACCAAATCGCCACACTGTGGATCACTGTTGAACAATCAATTGAATGGAATTACTCACTATAGTTTAACTTCCCCCACTATGGGGTGTTTTGCCAGTGTGAATGAAGAACATTATGGAAACTTCTTCCATGTTATGGCTTATATGAGAAAATCGTCAACATCTTACGGAATTCATACGACGGACTACAGTGCAAAGTCGTGCATGGAGGATAGCTCACAGACGCATTGCGAGTGAGGAACGGAGACAGAAAACGTTGTCTATCCCCCCTTTCCCTACCTTCCAGTGGCTGACTCGATTATGAAGACCTCCATATCTGGCGGGAAACATGGAATAGAATAGAAAACTTCGATGCAACTAGACGATTTGGACTTCGCAGATCATTAAGCTCTTCTATCCCATACACATCAACAAACGCACGTCAAGACAAAAAGTGTAACAACAGCCTCTGCTGCAGCAAACCTCAACACGCACAAAGGATAAACCAACATCCTCTAATATAGCACACAGAACACCAACACTGTCATGCTTGATGGAAAAACTGTGAAAGAGGTGGAAACTTTTCCATACCTGAACAGCATCACCGATGAACAAGGAGGATCTGACACAGACGTAAAGACAGCATTCCTACAATTGAAGAACATGGAACTCAAAACAACCGTCAACCAATATAAAAACGAGAATCTTCAATACGAACGGGGCTGACACGCAGAGAATTATCACAACCTTCACCAAAAAGGTACAAGTATTGATAAGCGATTGTCTACGTGAGATACTCAGTGTCCGTTGACCGGGTACCATCAGCAAAAACCTACCGTAGGAGGGAACAAACCAGCTTCCAAATGAAGAGGAAATTGGGAAAAGACGATGGAATTGGATAGGACATACATTTCGGAAACCATCAAATCGCATCACGAGACAAGCCCTAACTTGTAATCCTGAAGGAGAATGGAAAAGAGAAAGGCCAAAGAACACAGAGTTGAGAATCGGAAACAGACATGAAGAGGATGAATAGCAACTGGAAAGGATTTCTCAGGACAGTGTTGGATAGAGAATGATAGTGAGCGATCTATGCTCCTCCAGGAGTAACAGGTGTAAGTAAACCGTGATGTAACATGAAATTCTGAAACTTCTTAAAGTAGGCACTAAGAATATCGATGATAGTTAATGTAAGAATCGGAGTGAAAATTTTTAGAAAATTAATTACTCCGTTTAACACAAACTACGAAGAAATTTTCAACTAACATATGAATAATAGACTATATACATACCAGTTCCATGTGTAATATGAGATAGACGTGGATCATAATCCAATATATGACTTGATGGATTTTGTGATGACGATGTTACAACAGGAGTAGAATAATTCACTGAATTAGTATTACACAAACGATTTATGGCGCTTCCAATTGAATTGATATGTGTATTATTACTACTACTACTACTGCTACCACAGCCACCTCCAGTGCTACCACTGAAATGTGGTGCTTCACCACTTTTTTCCTCCTCACGACGTTTTAAACAAGCTTGTTTAGGATTTAAATTACGTTCTAGTAAAGAATTAACAAAAATAAAATAAAAAAAGATGAGCAGTTCAACTTTTAAAATAATTATCCTTATTATTAATATTATTACTATAAAAACTGTTTAAGACATATATAAGTGCACAATATTACTTCTGATTAGATAGTTATCAGACTTCATTCTATCATAAAAGATATATTTAAATGAGGATACTAAAAAGCACTAAGCCAAGCAAGTCAGTTAATAGGAACAATGAAATAGATTATATACCTAAAATATAAAAACCGATAGTAGGAAAAGAGGTGTATCAGCAGTGATCATTAGTCTTCTTTACTGTATAATTTCTAGTGATTAATATTTCAGCATCTATTTAGTCAAGTTTCAACATACTACTTATATTGAAATAACAATTCTAGTTGTTATTATTTTTATACAGTAGAGATGGATGGTGGTTAGCAATGTAATCCATGACGTGTATTTCTTCCTATTCTAATCAGTAATAATAGATCAGATATCTATATAATCATCAATTTGTACTTTTTTGATGATTATATTATGTAATCTACTTTTTTTTTGTTATAAATGGCTTATTAACACCCTTAACTGGGTTTAATATTTTCTAATATATGCATATAAATATTACTGTATATTAGATCGAAAAAATGGAAGAACCAATTAGAAATAGTATTGTTCACTTATATACTTTGTTCTAATTTTAATATTTTATTCTTTGAACAAGTAGTTTACACTAAGCAAAGATGAATAGTGGCTAGCAGTGGAATCCAGGACGCGAGTTTCGTCCTGTTTAGGACGCATCGGCTGGATGTACCTGGATCTCAGAAGATTAAAGTAATACAATGCCAAGTGAATTAGTTTACACTAAGTTAAGAAACGTCAGATAATCTAGTTTTTCTACTCTTTGGGATATATTATTTATATTAAAACTGTGTCTAATTTATTCAAATATTAGAATACAATGAAATAAAATTAATCAAAGAAAGGAAATTTGATAAAATATACAAACAACAACAACCAAAAAAAATTAAGATAACAACAAATAAACAGAAATTACATGACACATGCCAAAACAGAAAAAAAATAGATAATGAATTATGATAATATATGTGAGGAATGAATTTAACGGTTTTTAGTGATATCATGAAATAATGAAATCATAGAACAAATCACTAAAATAAACAAACACATTACTACTACTGTGGTGCGTACTACTTATATTGATATAAGTAGTATATGACGCGAGTCAGGAATGCAATCTCTGGCGGCAGATGGGGAAAATCAAGAAAGGAAGAGCGGGAATAGAAAGTAATTAGTATGGAAATGCAAGAACAATGAAGTTTGAGACAATTATTGAATATTTTGGAAATTAAGTATTATAGTATGGTTTGTCTATTTTACCAAGTACCTCTGTAATTTTGTGCTAGATATGATTAGGTTGTCCTCACCTGTGTTCTCCTTCACTACATTACTAGTAATACAACGCGTCGATGAGAACAGTTTTGCTCTATGCTTGTGAAACCTGACCTCTCCGAGTTGAGGATGTTAGACAACTCTCTGTGTTTGATCATCGTTGTCTCCGAAGGATTGCTGACATTCAGTGGCAACACCATGTTAGTAATGCAGAGGTTCGGCATCGTGTGCTCGGGTGCAGAGACTATAATGCAATTGGTGCCACCATCTTGAAACATCGACTTCGGTGGCTTGGATATGTTCTACGAATGTCGTCCCAGAGAATTACATGTCGTGCATTATTTGCCGACTCTGGGACTTATTGGTTTTGGCATTTTATCTGATATCAGTTCATGATGAAAACCCTAAATTAAGTTCCTAACCCTAATCATCACCCGTAAATCATAATTCCAATTCATCACACTTCGTTATAACCTTCATTTAGTCCTGGTTAGTATGTGGATATTTCAAGGTCACTTTAGCTTCGCTCAAAGGTCGTCTATAAGTTATAGTCTCACTATTTTTTTTTTGAGACAAAATACTTAAGTAGTAAACGACTTAAACATTGATATATGAACGAACATTCAATAAATTATCTTCAGGTTCTACAGTTATATATCTAAATTAATAATTCTATAAATGACCAGATTTAAGGCCAGCACTAGTAAGTTATCACTCATAGAAAAAGAATTCCAAAATGAATATTTATCACCTTATAATTGAATGTCTAGAACATAAAACAAGCCATAAAACATTTAACAACTCTCTCTTTCTCTCTCTCTAGGTTTATCAATATAACGGGCTAGTGATACTAATTTGGCTGCCAAAACAATTAAGTGGATGAAATGAGGTTTGAATGTATGATTTGTATGTTCAAAATTCGAGTAGTATATAACTATTATCCCATTATTCATCACACTAAGGATTATTACTTACAATAACAAGAAAGATGTATTATCACTTAAGAAAAATGCAACGTTTATACACCATAGAGTGATGACAGAATTTTTATGTAGTAATTCAATCCACTGAGAAGTAAAATAAAGAAAAACGTTATTTTCAAAAGAACGAAAAAAGAAACCTACATCAACAAATGAAATAAATGTTGCTAAACGCTTACACATTGACGAAAATAGCTTAATGAGTATACACTTTAATATAACCAACTTATTTGGGTAGCTTTCACCAATATAGATTTATTTAATTTGAATTCCTTTTTTATCAGTCAGTTAATCATAATCAATAAAGAGGATGACACTAATATGCATTAAACAAAATTCTCATACCAAATCTGTACAGTCAAATAAAATTATCAAGATGAATAGAAAAGTAATCAAAATAATGTAACAGCAATTACAATTAGAAAGAATCCCTACACAAAGAATATGTATGAGAAAATGTTGGGACTCAAGATCTAGAAAAAGATAAACAGAAGACTCATCTAGGCCATTGTGTCCGATTTCGACTCACCATATCACTTAGCGTCAAAAAACCACTGACCAAAACAGCCGAATAAAATCCAAGTAGCCGTATATTCATACATACACACCTCCCTAAATGGTCAATACGTTATTTTCATAGCACAATGTATTGATAAACACAGTTAACCAGCAAAAATCAAAGAGATTATGGAAAAAGCACGAAATAGAATATTCACATATGAATTGGAAGCATTATATTTAGAATCAGAAAGTGTTTTCTTTTTTTTAACCAGACTTTAATAGTAGCAGAGTGACTATACACATAAAAAAACGTGTTTAAGTAATGAATACACAATCGTTCTCTTATTATCAATAGTGAAAATTAAAAACTGACTCCTAGTAATTATTTATTAGACTTACATATAAAGTAAATAATAAAACAGAGAAACTAAACACTTATAAATTTCCCAATAAAATCTTACGACAGAAATGTAACCACATGAAGTACACAAATTACTTACCACGAACTTGTTGTTCTAAACTGGTGATTAATGAAACAGCTTGTTGTAAAATTGTAAGTTTGGTTTGTGGTCGTTCATTATTTAAATGCATCATGCACATGCGTCCAAGCTCTTTGAATGCATCATTGATATCACGAACTCGAATACTTTGATAGACAAAGAGCATACCATACATAAAGTGTAACACACAGGAATGCGATTAACCAGATTGACATATGTAATGGATAGTATGATGTAACAGATAATATTACCACGATCCAGGAGATTAAGATGAAAGAAAAGGAGAGATATAAACATGCATAATACTGAGGATTATGACAACATGCTAACATCAAGCAGAACTTAAAAACGATTTTTAAGAATATCTATGTTTTTTTTCTTCTAACCTCTAACTTGTTGTTCCAAACCTGTGATAACTGTTACAGCTTGCTGAAGAATCATGAGTTTTGTCAGAGGTTGACCATTTCCCGTGTGCAAATTAATCATTTGACCCAATTCTTTAAAAGCATCATTGATTTCACGAACTCGTAATCTTTTTTTGTTGTTGTACAATTTATAGATATAATGGACAAGTAAACATAATGTGAAATACGTAAAACACTATAATCTAGTTAACGAAATGATTTGATTTAATTAATTTACAAGATTAGATACTTACAAATACGATCACGGTTAGTGAAATTTGTTTTTTACTTTAAAACGCGTCTTCACCTTACCTGACAGACAAAATAGTATTTCACGTATTTTTACAATTGATTGATCACCAACTAGTGATTAATGCCATGGGTGTCAATTCCTCTTTAGAGTTGATTGAATTCTACCGACCAATTTATGTGGTCACTAATTTCAGTGACTTGATATCGAGTGCACTAACTTGAGATGTAAGGTTATGGTTGGAAGTAATCGATAGGAAACCGTGTTTGACCTCAATTTCGTGTTATTTGACACCACTCAGCAAGTAGTACATGTAATTTTGGGGGAATTGATGCTCCGTGTTGGATTAAATCCAATACCATCCAAATTCATTGACAGGACTCGACATGCATGATAGTGGTCACTACTTAGTAATTAATCAACTATAGGTACAGCTCAGTTTTAAAGGTCAGTAGCTGCCCGAATAGCTCAATGGTAACTTCTCTGTGTAGCTGAGTGACACGGGATTAAATCGGCCAGGCAGTATCAGTCCCATCAACATTACATGTGCGCTTCGCTGATGAGCACGACGTAGCACGAAACCTACGTCTAGGGGTTTCCCATCGAATCTTCTTTAAACAGTTCCTAATTAATAACCACTTCAGTAGCAAAGAAAAGCGATTACATGGAGTTAATTCAAAACAAGGAATACGCAAAAAAGCATCACCCCCTCCCCAAAGTGTACTACATTACACAATTCTAACAGTGAAAAATTAAATTGTTCGAAAAGAACAACTCTGGAATTCATAACAAAATTGAAGTAAGCAAAGCAATTTCTTGTAATATTTATTAGGAATACATCTCCATTCAGAAGAAATAAACATTCAAGAGAATTAAGACATGAAAAATACTGACACTTCACTATTACTAAATAACTTAATAATATATATATATATATATATATATATATATATATATATATATATATATATATATATATATAGTCCAAGAGTGATATCTCTTAGTAGCAAATCTTTTTTATATTAATTTATGATTGAAAATACTATGTTTGAAAGTCAAAACATATGTATGTTCTCAGTATTTAATCACGGATGTTATCTAAATAATGTTCAAGTATGATGAAACCACTAAGCGATCACTTATAAGAAATGATAAGTTGGTCTATGAAGGTTGTGAAATTTCATCATCTGCGTATAACACGTTCGCAAACACGTTTTTCAAGCTATACTCCTAGCTAGCATTGTAGGAGGAGTGACGAAGAAAGTCAGGGGTGATCAGTTCACAAAGTTAGTGATTGCTACTGTGAATGGTACCAAGGTATGTAGAGTTTTTAACTGGTATTTACAAACTAATCATTATCCCTATAACCAAGGTGACCTAAGTATCTGGGCTACCTGTTCTTTACACCTAAATATTTCAACAAGTTATCTGTTTTTGGTTGTTTTAATAAATCATTATGTTCATTAATCTCATAACCTATTCAGGTGTGTTTATGAAAAGTTTACGACCTTTCGTTGTACAATTTACACAAAAGTACAATCGGAAACATCGTGGAGGCTGGCAATATGGATTGAAAAGAATGAACATTATTCAGATGTCCCTTCCTGATCTGCTAACACCTAACTGCCAATCAAAAAATAAGAAAATGAAATTTATCGAAATACTTTGTGCTGAGAATTTCATATTGTATCAAAAATAATATAAAAATAATAATTTATCTGCTGTCTGCTAGTAAACATCGAATTTTGATACTGTCTGATATTCGATTTTTTAATTATGCTTCCAAAGTCTAGTCTTCTTTACGATCACTGATACTGTTATTTCTATTTCTTTAAATTATATTTTGTTTATAAGCATTTAGTGTGGTGATATAAAGCGCAGTAGCTAGGTACGATGCACACTTGTCCTGTTACCTACTAAGTTATGACTATTTATAATTAAATTTGCAGTCTGAATCAAGAAAATCAATGAACAGTATCGTTGACATATTTAACTACAAATAGCATACTTACCGCTCTCGTGCATTATTCGCCTGCCTACGACTACGTTCTCTTTCAGCTCTTTGCTCAGGTGTTTCGTCTGGGTCAATAGTTTCTTCAGAGTCAGTACCACATACACTTGGTGTACGACCATGTCCGAAATTTCTACTGTCAAAATCACCGAAAAGAGATGAGCATTCTGAGCTCATACCAGTATTAGAGGATAATGGGCAAGCATTCGACAGCCCCAAAGTCATATCGCTAGTGTTAGCTTCGATGGAATTTCCATTTGATTCTAAATTAAGAGAATTGGAAGGATTAACAGATGATGATCGACGCTTGTGTCCAGCAACACGACCACCTCTTGTTCCACGACCACCGCCATGAGATGTAGAATTGCTAGCAGATAAGGTTGGTGTAGAGGAATGTGTTAAACTTATATTAGATGAACGAGTTGTGAAATTCATTTCATCTACGCCAGATCCTATAATGAAAAAATATCAACATGCTTTTTGAGATCAGTACAACTTGTATACTAAAAAAATAATGAAACGTGCAAAAGATAAGAACATCAAGTTCAGTTTGTACGAATTTCACTACATAAGGTAAAATTAATTAATTTTTAGGATAAGGCGTGGTTAAAAAAATAGTAAAATCATTTCAGTCAATTTTATGGAAATTGAAAAATGTAATGACAAAAAAGTTTTAATAGTTCACATTCTTTTTAATGTTCGTCCTGATGATGTAGTCTAGAAAGATCATGAACGCATCACAAGTAAAGCACCTATCTCATAGAACGCTAATTCATCCAAATCATCTTCCTAAGCTACAAATTATCCCACTATCTCAAGGTGATGTATTATTATCATGATTACTGTATTTCTATACGAACAATGTCATAAACAGTCGATGAGAGATCACCAAATAAAATGAATAATTCATATGGTAACGGACTTATTAATCTCAAAATATTAGTTCACTTAAACTTAACATCAGCTATCATAGTTTACATCGCTTATTTATTCAACTAATATTTAACTTTTAACTGTCATCAAACTAAAATGGAATATACGATATCAGATTAAAATATGAAGTTGATCATGAAATTGACAATAATAATCCGGGATACAAATAGAAGATTTTTTTGCCCCCAAATGCCCTGGTACGGCCGAGAGTGGGGAGAGTCCGCTCTCCCTCTCGAAATACTCTCACACGGCCACGCGTATATAGCCTCTGCCAGGGAAGTCCTACTCACTACCTTCTCGTGGTGGGGGTGTTGTTTACGAAAATGAGAGGACGAAAAGCGAATGTCCGGCGCTTTAACCGGATTCCAAACCAATGGTGCACATGGGCTCCAGTATCCTGCGGGAACAAATGGCGAATGAACCAGTTGTTGGTCACCGGCTTCCATGGGACTGCATCTCCTTACGATGCTCCACTGCTTTGTGGATCAGACCTTCAGGTCGAAGGCTCGGGATGTGGCCCCTAAGAAAACCACCTGTTTCGGTTTGGGCACCCGGGCAGTATCACTGCCCTCACACATATCGAATGAGATTTGTGTGGCGCATATGTATTTGGTGCCTCTTTGTACCATTATCTATGTGTTGAAATAAATAAAATAATAAAAATACAAATAGAAGACATTTTAGAGAATATATCAAATATATGGATTTAAATAAGAAAGATGATGAGATAATTTAAAATACATTAAAATACGAAGTAAAACATACCTGCTAATGCTATCAGTGCTTCACGACTACAACTCATCATATCACTTTGATAATTGTTATTATTATTAGTAGTGCTATTATTACTATTATTATTTGAAGTTGTATTCTGAAATGAATGAAATTAAAGGGGAACAAATTAAGTCAAACATTTAGCAGGCAAATTACAAAACGAATAATAAAAACACTTCACAGAATCTATCTATATATATTTCAAATATTATCACAAAACGTACCATTTACTGAATGGTTTACGTTTATTGCAACGTTAACATCATTTTTAGAATTATTAGATTAGTTGAAGAATAGTCAAATGGAAAAGGTGAGAATATATTTTCTGAAGTTGATCAACAGAAGAATAGTTCATTAATCATTAGATAAGTAATATAAACTTAGGCCTCTTCAAACTAAATGTTAACCAGAGAATATGTATTACATTTTATGGATACGCATAAAAGCATAGCGTAAATTAAGATAATACTCCACATACTTCGCATTCTTAGCCCTTCACACTCGAGAAAAAGAACTAAAGATATAAATTAGATAACTCCAGTTGAATCAATTATGATTCAAATTATAGGCTACATGTGCAGGCGATGTACAGTATATGAGACAAGTCTAACTCATGTTAATGAATGATGGTTGTTTATATAATTGGATAACAACTCAGCGCTTTCTATTGAAACGAAGGACAGCACGTTCACTCCTTGGCAGGGTCTCGGAATCCCATTCTTCAAAAGTCTAACACTGAAACAAAATAATTGTTCAGTCCTCCCTTATTTCTAACAGTCGTGTTTAGCTGAAATCATTCTGTGATGTATATTGTAAACTGAAAAATCTCTATAACCCTTTTCTAACCTAACAATAATGTACTTTAAAAAAGTACTGGAGGAATTTTTTATAAGATGAAAACTCTTGATAACATAATATCAAAGTACACGTATAAATTACATGCTTACAGCTGTAAAGAAATGCAACAACGAACCACTAATTAATAAAGATACGAGGAAAAAAAGCCAAATAACGAAGTTATAAGAAAAAAATAGAAAAACAGAATAACGATAGACACATCAATGAATCAGCAAAATTGAATTATGCGAATTTTCGTTGCTCATTTGCATTTGTTATGTTGTCAAGATGATCTTATCACGATGATAATAATAATAATAATAATAATAATAATAATAATAATAATAATAATAATAACAATAAGTATGATCCAAAACATGACCCATTAGAGATCATATTTGTAATGAGTAAGATCCATAGGCAATTAATTCATCAAAATATACTTACACGCATACACACGAGAGAGTGAGCCCAAGCAAAAAAAGATTAATAATGCATAATGAAAGGTTAACAATAAAAAGTATGTATGTTAATAACAACAATAACACATACATGTGTATTGAGATTTGCAAGTGAGTGTTGTTCATAGACAACTGAAGGTATTAGACCAGATGGTGGGGTTATATCAGAAGATTGACGATGAATTGTATATTCCCCAATGGAAGAATATGAAGGATTAGGATCTAAAGGATGAACTATTTTAATGCAATAACAACAAAAAAGTCATCATTATTAATATAGTTTTGATTATTAATGAGTGATGATTCCTAAACAATTCAGTTTGTCTGTTGTGAATAGCATTAGAGTACTCTGGCAACAAATAATTGGTGACCATAAAAAACCAATAGTCCGAATGAAATTATAGGACAGATAGATTATGACTATCTGTGACAACAAACAAACTGATAAACTAATGGGTACTAGACACCTAAACGGATAGTCGAAATTGTATGGAATAAGTCAAAAATCTATATAGTGTTGGGAAAAGTCAGTCAATTATATACAACATAGGACGAAGCACATATATACATTGGTCCAAGTTACCGTATCTCTTTAGCATAACAAGATGAACACTAAATAAGTCGAAGCAGTTACTTAAATGGTAGTAATATATGAAGACAAGATGGTATATAAGGAAATGATACAGGGAAAAATAACTAGTTCGCAGAAAGAAAGGTATAAAGTAATTTTAATATCACGGTTCCCGACCGTTGCTGCCACTTTGATGTGATGATCGGGCTTGCCTATCGTGATAAAGCAATCAAGCTATACTGGCTGAAATAATCGCTCCTCAAGGTTCAACCATGCCTGGTAGGTCAGCTGAAGAGCAACAAACTCAAGGTTCGATGGCGAAGTCGTACTGCTAACTGTACAGATGTTTGACAACAGTTAGGTGCTTCCTTCAGACAGCCAGAATAATAGCGATGCTGCCTTCACATAAGGAGCGGCGGGGTTATAAATGGGCGACCCTAAACGTGCATACCTCCCCTTATCCCATGAATTTCAGTCTCCGGCGGTAAGGTTTCAACAAGTACGGAGCTAACATGGAAATTACTCACAAAATGGTCGAGTGTGACTGGCCTCAAATAGCTGTCCCTTGAGCCCTGCGGTCACACTCTCAGGTCACTCAGATCACCTCCAAACCAATTTTCTTTTCAGGTACTTCTAAAGGAACCCTTCCACGGTGTGGGTAACCAGGAAGTGATAACCGCTGTCATACCTATAACAACACTGAAGACCACTATATTCATAGTAAATTTCCCTCAATTTTCAGTGTTAGGAAAAAAAGAGAACGAACAAAGTTTTTACTAAGCACGTTTTTAATCATCACAGTAAAAACTTGTAACTAAATATGGATTTGTGTACTCCATTTTAAGTTAAGTTTCTCAGAGTAACAATGTGTAATATTATCCTTCTGCTCAAGCTAGAATGATGAGGTTCGAATCTATTATCACTTTGCATAGTTGACAGCCTAAGCAAGTTAAGTACACGGTCAAAATGAATAGTCATTTTATACACCAAAGTGTAATTTGAACAAAAATTGATTTCAAACCATCAAAAGGTTTGACTGGGCACGACTAAACTTTAATCTTTTTTTAATAGAAAACTACAATGTGTATAAATTTCTTACATAAAACTGGTTTGAAGATAAAATGAGATAAAAAAAGGATTTTTAATTATAGGCTAACTATTACTACGACAACTACGCTTATATGTTAAACTTGAAACATAGTCAGTCAAACAGCCCGATCACTAATTAGATATAACGAAAAACTATATTCAAAATACACTTAGATTACTAAGAAAGAGTGAGGAGGAGAAATAACACTTCTCAGTAAGATACTGATCTACATCTGAATTGCATTTAATGACAAGTACTAATTTTATAGACGATGGATGACTCATTAAATTGTACCTAAATTCAGAGACAATAAATTCCCTTACATAAAAGTCATAGCAAAAAAGAGACATAGTTTAGTAATATTTTCACGACGAATTCTGGAAATGTAAGCGTAAAGGAACAAAACAAAGCATGTACACAAATAAGGTCGTTTGATATGATTAATCTATGGTTTTGCCACTGTGTGCTAAAAAAAGTTTGTGGAATCCCTCGTATGTACATTAAATAAAAATGAAATACGCTAATATCCAATCACAATAAAGTTTGACCGATAAATTCGATTATAACAAAACACTGGATAGTAATACAGGATGTTTACTACTACTACTACTACTACTACTCAACGATCTATCATAATAAACACATCAGCTCTACAGTTATTTCACAAAGCGCATTCTGAAGGATCCCATAGTGTTTCTGTTTGTGACACAAATAGAGATATAAGTTCACTTTCTGCAAAATAAGCATTAAATTGGATGAGGAATAACCAAAATGAAGAGGTCTAAGTGAAGATCTGTTTATCAACTGTCCATTAACCAGTTTACAGTCTCATATGTAATATGTAATAAACTGAGATATAAGATAGAAATAAGATTCAATCAAGTTTTTGTGTAGAATTTTGCAACTGTATTATCATAGAAACTAGGAGTTAATACTAAATGAACAATATTATTTGAATCAATCAATGCTAATGGTGGAGTATTATTTATGATTGATTTAAGTAAAAATGTGAAACCAAAATATTATCAGCATGGGAATTTGTGGAGATTATAGTACTTCCACAGCTTAAATCACATGTCAATCTAAGCTAGACCACCATTAAAAACCTGAAAGCGCTGGATGACTGTTTCGTCCTGGTATAGGACTCCTCTTCAGCAGTGTGAATCCACGGTCTTGCACGCGGGACCAGTGTAGTCCTTCATTTAGCTTAAACAACAGACAGCAACAATTTGTCTATTTTTTGTTGTATTATTACGATCACTATCATGTCTTTATAAACATATATGCTTGGATCTTATTAATTGTCTTCGCTCCGCCTCGATTCGATTTAGAACAACACATTCGATTCGATTTCACTATAATTTTGCCTCTGTATTCGCTCGCTTACACACATTAGCCTCTCTGCTCCAATTCGCCTCGATGTGTTTAAAAATTTTGTTAACTGTGTTATCCAATAATAAACCGTAATTGCCGCTTGTTGCCTTCTGAATTCATACACCGTTATGGTATATTTAATAACGGTTATCAGGGTGATTGGTAAATGAAGCCAAGCCACTACAGTGTGTCGCATATATATTTGGTGCCTCCTTTTACATAAATGATCTAGAACGAAACATTTTTTGCACCCAGATAAATTACTACAAAGGAATTTTTCTAAGAATAAGATTGGAAACCTTATCACATCAACATCAAAAAATCCTTAAACTAAGTAAAAATAATTGTACTCATTTAGGTCTAATTAATTTTCAAACAAGATATTTTCCATTTATACAGAATGATTTGACTAAAAAAGGCATGAGAATCTCAACAATATTCTTAACATCATATCCAGCCATTATTATAGCCTACCTACATACCTATAATAGAAACTTAACATTATTTACATTGCTAAATAAATTATAGTATAGAAATTTACTCTAATGAATGCATAAGCACACACAAATCATGTGTTTCTTATTGACAGTCAACTTACCAGGTTGAGGTATATTGCATGGGTGTTGGATGGAAGGATCAGATAGTCCAACCAATGGACAAGGTTGTAGTGTAGTCGGTGCATACATATTACCACCAACCCCGCCAGCCCCAGAATAATTCATTCCCTGTAACAAAACCAAATGACATAATATTTTCTTAAAAATATCTACAATGTTTCCCGATTAAGTTATAGACTAATCGGATCAAGCTTAAATTTTAAAAAAAATATCAATTAGGCAGAGAGGTGAGGAGCCAAGTATAGCTTGATGCCTTCAATATTAGTATGATAAGAGAAGCAAGAATTAGGCATAATAGTTAGATTCTAAATTGTTGACGAGGGAGTGAGCGATAAAACTGATATATCTTTCAATTATTTGAGAAATCCCACCATATTTTTATGTTAAGCATTTTGCATGTAAACACGTAATTGTACTACTTAAAAAACCTATTCTTCTAGTTAGCGTTTGTGCGGTTGAAATTAGTTCATTTATGGGATTGAGTAGATATTCAGATCTCGTGAGCTGACATGTTCCATCAGAGTACAATTCACTAATCTTCACAATCACAAAACTATGTAATTTATCAAACTATAACATATAATGCATTTTGAGAGATAGTCATATTTATCCAATTTCAAAACCGAACTAAGAGTTTTTGAATTCAAACCTACGGCCATGAAGTATTGAGAGCTTTATTTATTAAGTCATCACTTAATGTGTGTCCGAATCTAAGACGTATCTCAAAGAAACTAACTGCTCTATCCATTAGATAAATCTTTCTGTTTCATAGATTTTTCACATTTTGACCGGTGTTGAAATGAAAAATGCTAAATAAGCCAACCAATCATCATCATTTTGAAAAAAAAAATTTTACCGATGTGGCCCAAGAAGCCTAGTAATGAGTTAATTTCATAAAATGTTGTAGGATAAATTTCCGTCATTACCATGACAATTTATTACGAATTTCATCCATTTAAAATTCAATAAACAATATTATCTTATGAATTATTTAACAGAGCATTTGATATGAGTTTTTTTTCAAAGTATTAAATAAAAATATTGAACATTCACCAAACATTTAATGCTGGAAACACAATTTTGAAGAAAGTGTTACAAGTTACAATTAGACAACTACTAAAGTTTAAACAATAAAACAACAGAGTTTTAATAACTGATAATGAGTAATTGGATTAATGCTAATTATCTTACGAAATAACATGTAAGGAGTTCATATAAACAATGAATAACAAAAATATAGCGAGACGTGTTTTAAATTGATAGCTAGACACTAAAAAATGAGAATTCTACACAATCGTAGATAGTAACAGCAGACTAGTCAAAATTTATCACCGGAGTAAATAATATTCAATGCAAATTAAAGTGTTTTCTTATTCAAACATAAAATACTAATAACTCAATACCACCCTATAAAAATCAGGATAAATTTACCATATTTACATGTGTCGGATGAGTAGATTCAGGATGGATAGAGGGATTAGAATTGGGATAGGCGGGAACAGAAGTCAACTCAGACGTCAACTGACAGGCACTACTATTATTATCATTGGAAATATGTGAAGGGAAATTTGATGTATGAACAGAACCTGCCACAACGCAACCTGGATTAATGACATTAGTTGTATTTGACCAACCGCTTGGAATTGTATTTCCATCACACACAGAATCTACACAGATAAATAAAAAGAAATGATAAGAAATTTAAGCTGTGACAAGTCAACTAAATGAAAAACTAGCATGGATCACCAAGAAGCAAGATATGCACCAACTGCACACAAAGATACGTTTTATTCAGTAAGTTCTACCACCATTACTACTACTGCCAACAGTAGTAGGAGAATTCATCTAAAAAGTAGTTGCATTGACCAATTCTCAAATAAACAGCATTACATTAATTTTGCATAAGAAATTTTATTTTAAGCAAAAGCTAGAATTAAGGTCAATGGAAAACAAGCAGATTATTTTCAATTACTCAGTACAAAACAAATCGAAGCATAAGGGGGCTGGCTGGCTAAGAATAAAATTTTTAGGAATATAAGCAAATAAACTAATATCACACTGCCTTAGGGCTTTGCATACACAGTCAAATTGCCTTGTGAATCAGCTAATTCTTGTTATGTTTTTTTCAACAACAACAAAGAACAAATACGTGTAAGCAGTATCACGAAAAAAAAATCACGTTTGCGACCTCTGGGGACATAACAAAATCACTAATAATAATAATAATAAAAAACACATGCAACAACATTAGAGCACAGATGTGTTGCCTACAGAAAAACTATTCTCTAAAAGTTAGACAGAAGAAAGCGAGCGAGAGAGGGTGGCAAAGAAAACAGGCAACAACAACAAAAAAAACGAAGGATAATAAGTAAACACACTCTGATGTAAACAACTATCATAGAATACAGAAATTTACAAAATGCAAAATAGGGGAGGGGGATAAAGAGAAATACAAAATACACAATAATAATAATAATACTAATCATAATAGTAATAATAATAACAATGATGATAATACATAGTTTATTCAATTCTTCCTATAACACATATCAATAATATGAACAGATATAGAATAAAATTGTTAAAAAAAAAAGAGAATTTATTTTAGTCACTGATCAAACATTGTTGATTAAAACAAAAAACACAAAAAAAAATGCAAATAACAGAATATTTTTCTAATTTCTTTTTTTTACTAACTTTTCCCCTTTAATGTGTATACACATAGATAATACCTAAAGCTGTAAAAGTAATTATATTAAAACTTTTCCGCTATTTTACTACAAAAAAAAGGGAAATTATGATAAGTATAATATTTACAAATTGTATACAGTTACTTACTTTTTTTCGCTTCTCTTTAATCTAATTTATTTAAATTATCTTAGAAAAATTAATCGGATTTCCTTTTATCAACATAGAGAGATTATAATAAATATAAGTGTATATTTTATAAAATGATATAGCTAATGATAATAAATAATAAAGGAATTGAAATAAATGAAATAGCTAATAGTAATGAAAAAGATTAAACATCGAAAACATAATATGAGATGATGAAATCAAATGGGTTTACATAAAGAAATACTGGAATTTAAGATTTAAAGTAAGTTAAAAAGTGAATGTATTTGATCTATTATGACCGATTTTAAGCGATCACTCAAACACCGGTCAGATAATTTTACATAACTATAAATTCAGTCAGTCAGTCAGTAACAACGTAGAACATCGTACGTACGTACATCAGTCCGAATTGCCATACCACATTAGCACACAGATATAATTGTCAATTCAAATCACATAGTGGTAATGGTAGTAAAAGTATAAGCAGTAATCAGAAACATTAGAGTTTGAAAATGTTATTCAAGGAATATAATCCAGTGAAATAAATTTGGAAATAGAAAAAAGGGACATGAAGAATTCGAAAGATTAGAATTTGAGAGAATATAAAGAATGAACGCACCTGCGCCATCGCAGACAATTTCGAGCCATGTCATTCGGGGTCTCTAACCATCGGTTGCTATCATCTTGCGGATACCAACCAGGTAGTCTACACCTACCAATATGGCTCAGTCCACTTGTCAGTGACTTCGTGGATGTGTCCCATGTTACCAGAGTACCAGTGGCAGGCAGATTTAAACAATATTAGCAGGACTATTGGTTAAGACTAATGATTAACATATTTATTAGTAATTAATTTGATTAAAGTACTTGGCTTATTCATTAAGTTATAGAATTGAACTTAATATACCTGTAGGGGTCAATAAAGGTATATATTATTGGTCAGCAGTCGCCAAACAAGGCATTTTCTCTTGAAGCTGAATATATAAACTTGAAGATGCTAAACAAATTATACTAATTATTAATAAAAAAAGAGTTTGTGGAGATTGAATTCTGTAGTAAACACTCACAGATTGACTCTAGTTAGACAACAGAAAACCCGAAAACACTGGGTAGCTTATTTAATGCTAATATGGAGCCACTCAACAATGTGTATCCACGATCCTAATGGGGACCTAACCTAGAACCCTAAATCTTACGCACGACCACTGAACTGGCGTCCATTTGTGTTGATGTCCAATTTCAATCAATTCATGAATTCAACAAGAATAGCTAGGTTAAAACAGATAGATCTCTAAAAAAAAGTGAAGTAATGGAAAACACTACGCAAACTATACTCGTTTCTTCCTTAAAAACCAACAATGAAACAATCACACATAATAAGCAGAGAAATCTATGAATAACACAAATAGAACACAGTGATATGTGACTACATTAAGGAAAAATAGATAGTAAGTAGTACAACAACACACAACATTTTTTTATTAAAATAAACGCCATATTGGAATTGATAATGAATAAATAATCATTTAAAATTTTATTTTTTTTAAAAAAAAAAAACTGGCCACCTACCAATTCCATAATAAGAATCGAAAATTCCCGAAGATGCAATCAGTGGATTATTTGGTTGGAAATGAAGAGATTTTATTTCACGCTTACTGGGTTCATCAATACCAGTCGGGATAACACTTGATTTAATTATACGACGTGAATCAATATCATCATTTCCAGCACCACTACTGCATAAAGCTGACATACATGATGTATTATTTCCACCAACAGGAACAACATTTAAATTTGTGTAAATACAAGGATCACGATTGTCATGTATATGATCAGTTCGAATGATCGATTCTATGTTTGATCTATTCCGTGAGGATAATGATATTGATGACGATGATGACAAAGGTGTAGTTATCGGTGGACAGTTGTAATTTCCACCAGTTAATAAATTTGATGATGGAGTCGTATGAGTCGATGATAACCGAGAACAAATATCATTTTCACCGACAGTTGAACTGTTTGGATCTTTGATACCCCCAAGCATAGAATCGTAAAGCTAAAATGAGTTTTTTTTAAAAGAAATGTTAATCTTATTAGCAAAATCGTAAAATAGTATAGATGATGAAAATTCTTTAAAATCTGAACAAAGTTTGACAGAAATTAGACGTGAAGTATATACAGGAGATATTATTGTTGAGAATATCACAGCACTTCTACGTAGAAATAACCAAAAATATCGAAGATAAAGGTCTAAAACAAATTGATATTAAACACTTGCTTAATCATGTTCAATCGTTGATTTTGTATACAGTAAGAAAATGAGTTATTTGCCGTGTAGTTTAGTTGAGATATTAGTAAACAGGTTAAGTAACAATGATTAACAGAGGATAATAACAATAACGAAAAAAAGTCTTAGAAATAGATACCATTTAGAGTGGGTTCATTAGTTATGTATAAAAATAAGTTCTCTAGACGATACGTGTACTTAACAACTGATGTTTTCTTTCCATGTTATTCAATAGCTTTAAAAATTTCAACTAACACTTATTATTGAAATGAACCATACTGCTATGTTTGAAGAAACTACGTATCACTTAAGACTGAGGAACAGAACGAAAGCTAGCAACAAAACAACGGAACAAGCTGAACTATTCACTGAGCCGCAGCCCAGCCAACTAGGAGGAGAAGACCAGATTCAGACGAGGGAAAAGTATATTCCATACAGTCGGAAGCACGGACGGACAAGCACACAACCCTTATGTATATATAGAGTACAAAAATTCCCTCCGAAAACGTCATAAAATAGTGTACTAAAAGAAGAAACGAACCGATGACGTTTAAGATCCCTTTAAGTGGGAAATACAAACTGAAGATAAAAGTGGTCGGTCTAAAATCGAATAAATGTGGCGAACTTTCAAATAATAACATGTCTGATATAAATAGTGAAAATGTCTATGAAGTAGATCTAAATACTCGACAGGTTAATAGTTAAAACACCAAGGTTATGCGAGTGTAGTCAATATAGATCCCCTTACTGAACTACTCAGACCAATTCTTATCAAATATAAAGTATAAAAATATGATTAAGTTAAAATAATTTTTTTAAATAACCAATAATCTATTCATATATACATAGGTGTATCGTTTGTCAAGAACGATTTAAGACGACAGTAATTAACTACATAATTGATAAACGATCGCAACATATTATATTATTGAAATTTTGTTAGCGAATTTATCGAGACCCTTTTCCACAAACCAAAAACTGTTCTCTTTAAAATAGTAAGAACACATTATTACTTTTTCCCAAAAGAAAAGTGGAATATGAATCTGTACAAGTTCAGTAAAATAAAGAAGACAGAACAATGAGAAAATATCAGCTGAGGGGTTTCAGGAACAGGGTGGTGACAATCACCGATGAAATCAACATCGTCAATTAGAAGATGGATGAGAATGAAGGAGAAAATAGATCAGAAACAATGAGAGAAAAAAGTGGAAAAAATTAATCGTTTATAACTACAGCTATATTTATTATATCTGATTATTTGAAGACACACGTTGACCTATAAAACAGACATAGTTTGCCTTTGTACATATCGTCGTAATAATCATAAATGAGGATGATAAAATAGTAATAACAATTATTGTTGTTAATATTATGTGCTGACGGTGATGATGAATACAAATAACCAAAGTGATTAAATTATGCATTTCAAGAAAGAAAACTAGCAAGATATATTGAGATGATAAGGTGAAGACAAAGGCGTAAAGCAAACGTACAAATACGATCACATAAATTATCAGTATAAATACAGGTAATTCATGAAATAGTTGAAGACTGATTATTTTTTGAAGCAAAAAAAGAACAGAAGAAAGATTCTCGAGAGCAAACAGTGAAGAGACGAAAATTTTCACGAAGTCAGCAGAAAATTTCATATGATACATGCACACACACATACATACATACATACAGACATATTTGTACTCGTACTGAGAGGAATCGGTTAAAAGACAGTGCAATCTTTAAAAAATCCTTTTTTTAAAAACAATCGAAAGCACAGATGTGCAAACCATTAATTTATATTTTTGGTTTGTGCACCAAGTCAAATTATCAATTACTACGCGCATGTATATATATACATAAGAAGGGAGAGAGGTGAGGTATTGATACTGTCTACCTCCCTACAGGGATAAGCTGAATATCACATTTAACACTGGGGAAAACTAGTTATAGTGAAAAGAATAGAGAAGGCGACATATATACATATATATATGAATTAACTTGAAGAAAATTCTTCTCCTTTACTAATCACCTAGACTAGAAGTAATCCATGCAGCTGTCTACATAGAGAAAAGAATAAGAAGGAAGAGTGAATAAAAGAAGATTTAAAAAAAAGGTCAGTAAGTATCATTTATTGTCTGAGATATCTTATTCGCACAACATACATACAAACAAATAAAAAACCCATATAGATAGGGAGAAAGAAGGAAAGAAAGAGAAAGCACTTGTAATACAAAACAAATCAAGTATATGTGAATACAAGTTAATCAGTAAATTAGGTCAAATATTTCATTTTAATTCATTTGCACAATTCTAGATAATGATTGATAATAATAATAATAATAATAATAATACACTGAGAAAATTGTTTCTAAAATCATTTTTACTTTTTAAAAAATTTTCACAAATATAAACGGGACAGAAATTTGTACTATTTGCAGAAATAAACTACAGGTGAATAGATATTGTAACAAAATGTATTAGCAAAGTTGACGATATGCAACCCGATAGACAAACTTCTTTTTTTTTTAAATGATCAATAATTCAAAGAGAGAGCACAGTTTTCAAAAAGTTTACGATTGGAAATTATTATTATGATAAACATATAACAAACGAAGGGAAGAGTAACGTTGACAATTAGATAATGTGAATGTACCAGAATGATAACAATTTGTTAACGTAGAGGTGTTTAAGTAGTTAAGTCGTTAAGTTTTCAAGCATTACATCACAAGTTTGAATCTAATAGCAGCTATTTTGGTCTTAAAAGCTGAATAGTATAATTAACTCTCGCTTGAGGAATGTGACGTAAAACCAAGTTTGTAAAATTGCACACAGTAAATGAGTCAAATTATTTTAAACTGACATAACTGTAGTAATGAATCTGTTGGAGACGTTGAGTAGTATGTTTTATCATTAGTCACAATGATGTAGATACATGTCTTCCCTCAGATTCTAAGATTCAAAATTATTTTATACCGTTTTAATATCCTACGACTTTATTCATTTTTCTCGAATCATATTATTTCTACCTAATTTTTTTCTGCTAAAGTTACTAATTCCATTAATACATCATTTATCTTATTAATTTCATCTCATTGTGCTAATGTAGTGGAGCAACTGCAAGCGATGCACACATTTCTCAGGTTCTATATTGCATATGACCAACTTACCACGTAGAATACTAATACAATATTAAGTAACCAAGGTACTGTCTCAAATTATATATTAAATACTCTATACACTTTCTAATCCATGTGATAAGGTCGCTACTAATAAAAGATTCACTCAGACCAGTGGTCACATTGCAACTTGATCGACAGAACTTCATCAGCACTAAAAAGACTAAATTATATATGACATTAGTCATTGTTCAGTAATTAATCAAGTGTAAGAGAGTAGAAAAATTATACCTTACAAAGATTAAATTTGTCCAGAAAAATATAAAGTTGTTTTGGTTGTGATCAGCTACTATCGGTTTACCGTGTTGTTTATTATCATTTATCACTGGTTTCTCATGTGTGATAAAAATACGACTTTAAAAACTACTGTTTATATGTCCATATGTCTCAAGCCAATCATCAGTGAAATATGCTTAAAAAAGCATACCATTGGATTCTAATGAACCTGGTGATATCCAGAAGGCGAAATATCGCAACATTTCGACAGTCTTAATGTTCCCATATTTATTTATATTACGTGGCGACAAATTAAAGCATGGGGTGTGTGTTCGTTAATTTGTAGAGCGTCTCTTCTTTCTCAATATTCGACATGTCTGCAATATCTAGCATTTCTCCATTCATTAAGTGAATCATCTACAAACGTGCATAATTTCCATTGGAGACTTCATTTCAAACTCCAAGTTTCATTTATTATGCTTTCTTCATCTGGTAATTTGAGGTGGGCTATAGTAATGTTCAAAGGTATATAGGATAATTGAAATGAAATTCCAAGTGAGAACTACGTGTTTATATACAACATCGACATAGTGAACGGATGGAAAATGCACGAAAATGTTAGATAACACACTTTTATTGAACATTGGAAAAGAAGGGCTATATTGGTATTATTATTATTATCATTTAGGCATATAAAAATTAGCACAAAGGCGCCATACAAATTAGTCACTATTCAATTTATGAGTGAACTGAGATACTGTCCAGGTCCCCAAACCGAAACAGGTATTTGTCTTCGGGAACCACACCAGAACCTTTGACCTAGAGGTATAATCAACAAGGCAGTGGAGCAACGTAAGGAGATGCAGTCCCATGGTAGCCGGTGACCAACAATAGGTTTATACGTCATTTTCCCACGAGATAATGAAGTTCATGTGCACAACTGGTTTGGAATCAAGGTTTTCCGACCCCCTCCCCTCTATGTGGATCCTCCGCATCCAACCAGCCCGGTTAGAGCGCGGAACATCCGCTCAATTTCGCAAACATGCTCGCTACGAGAAGGCAGTGAGCAGGACTTCCCTAGTGTAAGGCTATATACGTGTGACCATATGAGAGCATTTCGAGAGGGAGAGAAGGTTTTTTTCACCTTCTGCCGTACCAGGACATTTGGTGGGTATATTGTCATTTATATTGAAATGTATGTTCACGTTTAAATGCTCAAATAAAATTTGTAAATAAAAACTTCCCTTAACCCATTCTATGCAATTCAATTAATTTAAAACTGATATAGGAATGATATTAACGTGATTAAACAAACAAATAAATACAACTCAATTTTCAAATACACGTTTACATACTCAGCTGATAGCCAGACCATTTTAA